CAGTTAGCCTGGGCCAGACACTGCTCACTCAGCCTTCTGCACCAGCAAACAGCCTCTCGCTGTCAGGCGCAGAGCCAGTCCCACAGTCAGCAGGGTCTAGAGGACGTTTCGGGCTCTAATGACGAGAGAAGCCCATCACCTCAGCACAAGCTTTCGGAAGATCCGAGCCAGTCCTTTAGCCGCATCACCTACGACCTACGTGCCACATGCGATAGCCGAGGCCAAGAAGGCAAAAGCAAGACTCTTCCTGGACGTGTTTGCAGGCTTCCGTGCCCCAGTCACTGCAGCCATAGCGGCCCTGGGCCTGGACCTTCCAGCCCTTCGACCTGGACGCAGACTCAGCCTTTGACATTCTTCACGACCCCGCTGCAGGTCTGTTGGTCGGGGCCTTGCAAGGAGTAAAGCCGACTCACCAGGAGGCCCTCCAGCCCTGCGCACGCCTGAGCATCTGGACGGCCTCCCAGGCCTCAGCCCGCAGGACCTAAAAAAGGTCCGGGACAGCAAGGCCATACAGCCGCAGAAAAGACCTCTTTGAAGCGGTAGCCTGCCGAGGAGGCATAGCTTGGCTTGAGCCAGACGCCATGCCCGCTCTCAAGAGGTTCAGGTGCCACGTAGCCTGGCTTGACGCCTGCGTGTATGACATACCCTTGAAGAAGTCCGTCTGAAGACATACGCTTCATAGGCTCTGAGTGCAATCACGGGCACAGGCATCAGTCGATAAGAGGCACTAAGGACTCTAAGGGTGGCTTTCTCAGCAGCTCTTCGGCGGAATATCCGCCAGCCCTAGCCAAGCCTTGGCCTCGGGCTTCGCCCCAAAGCTCACCAGCCTCGGACATAAAGCCCTGCCCCTGCAAGAATGTGCCTGCCTTTGCCAGAGTCTCTGCGTCGAGCCTCCGTGTGTGATGGCGCAACCCTTCACAGGTCGGCAGATCAGACTCTTCCCAATCCCCTAAGCCCCCTTAAAGACCTATCAAGCGCACTGTCCAGCTGGCTGCAGAGCCTCCATACATAGCAGCACACATTATCCAGCAGAAGCCCGACAGTCCCAGGAGCATGAAGCCTTGTCAACCCTCCTGAACCTCCTGCAAAGCCCTGGCCACGAAAATCAGTGACGGGGACTCGGCATTCCAATGCTCAGTGCACGAGCCGATACCCTCTAGCCTGCTCGGCAGCAGAAGCGAAGCCCTGCATAGTCCAGTCCCTCATCGACAAAGAAGTCGCGTCAGGTTGGGTCCAGCACATCCCCGGGGGCAGCTCAACCTGGTAGAGGCGCCTGGTGAAGACCCGCACCTGGTCCTCGACAGCACGGTCTGCCAGGTCAATCCCAACTGCAGCCTTCCAGAGGCTGTGCAACTGCCCACAGTCTCCGATGTGTGCTTCTCCTTTCGTGGGTCAGGGAACAGGACCAGGGCATGCTCCTTTTCGAGTTCGCAGGACAGCTATACGGATATACCGTCTGCCGCTTTGGAGCCCGCTTCTCAGCCTACTGGTGGCAGCGCCTCGGAGCCTTGCTGCTGCGCATCGCGCGCCAGCTCCTTGCGCAACAGCCCCACAAAGCCTGGCTTTATGTGGACGATCTGTTAGCAGCCCTCCTTAGAAGCAGCGGAGACTTGCAGTTGGCGCTGCTAGTCGTGCTCCTGGTGTGTCTCAAAAGCCCCATCTCTTGGAAGAAAGCAGCCCTAGACGACTCGTTAGTCTGGTGTGGCTGGAAGTTTAACTTCCGCTCTGAGACGGTCCGGCCTCGAGCCGGACAAGCTAGCTAAGCTAGCAGAGCAGATACAAGCCCTCCTAGCCTGCAAAAAAGCAGACAAGAAAGCCCTGCAGTCCTGCCTTGGTCTCCTGACAGGTCATATGCAGCGCCTATGTGCTCAGACCTCAACAGCCCCCCAGGCACACTATACAACATCCACGCTCGCGTGTGGCAGCGCTTCCTTTTCAGCCTGGACAACAGAGCCGTCGAACCAGAACTATACCTGGCCTGTAGGCAGCCTCAGAGTACGCAGAAAGTCAGATGTGCCTCTGCTTCCCAACTCAGACAAGCCTACCTGGGTCAGGATAGCTGATCCCACAACCTCCGAAATAACCCTCACCAAGAGCAGCAAAGAGTCCCTAGCCTGGCTCCTATCCTGCGTGCAGTCCACTCCCGCCAAGCCTCACCTCCTGCATTGCGTGTCAGCAGCCGACGCCATGGCAGAAGGGGATACTGTTGGAATAGGGGGCTGGCTGTGCACCAAGGACGGACTTCACTGGTTCTCAGAAATCTGGTCCATGTCCGAGGTGCGCGAAGTCTTGCCCCAGCTGCACAAAGACGCCCAAAAGTAGATAGCCTGCTTCGAGACCCTCGCACAGCTAGCCCTTCTTCAGATGGCCCACAGCCGCTTGGGTCACAAGTACCTGTCCTTCGCCATCTGCAGGCTCTGACAACACTCCCAGAACCGGGTGTAAACAAGCTTTTCTCTACAGCCTGGCCTCTTAGCCTCTTCCTCCGCCTGGTGGCATCATGGTCGCACGCCCGCTCCGTAGCCCTGCTTGTCTCCCACGTTTCCGGAAAAAAGAACGTCTGGGCGGACGAGCTCAGCAGAGACAAGCTCGATAGATTTCGCTCCAGGCCCCAGCCCGGTTCAGCTTTTCGCTAGGTCAGCTTTGCCGCCCGAGGGCATTACTCTGCATCCCCCACAAGCTAGGTGGCAGGAGAATTTTCTAGCCGCATCATCGACAGCCCCCTGAACCGAGCGCGAAACAGTCCGCGTCTTGCAGTTCTGTTGCAGCCCGCTTCAGCCAGCCTTGCTTGCCATAAGCTGGCGCAGCCATGCAAGCCATACCTGGACTCAGGCTCTCTCGACGTGCCGCGACCACAGAGTTCTCACGCACTGTGGCCCTCAGCCCGCCTGGCAGGTCCCCTGTTTCAGCTACTCAGGCAGCCTGCTTTCTGGTAGCCCTCCACAGTCGCAGCCTCAGCTTTAGTTCCCGCGCAGGCAACCCTCATGCGGAAAGGGGTTCTCGGGGCAAGGCCGCAGCCTCCCGCAAGGACAGGGTTGCTCTGAGTCACTAAACGGAAAGGTGGAAAGAAAGGATGCCCGGGCTTGAGCCCGCAGCCCGCAGCCCTTTTCAAGCCCTCCTTCTGCAAGGCACTCAGAGCAACCCAGAGAAAAGGTGTGAACTTCTGCAGCTGTGTTTAGTGGCTAGCTTTGAACCTAGGAGCAGTGCAAGCCCACAGAACGCTAAGAGTTTTATTTTGGTCTCTTGTGTTTTGTGAGGTCTTGTGAATCTCATGTGCGTCCGCTGCCACGTGTGCTCCTAGGTCAAGACTAGCCCTACTTAAACAGCCTAGGTAGATCCTACTTGTAAAGTTTCTAGCCCGCCCTCCCAACCCTTGGTGTCCTTAAGCCTCAAGCCTTGACGCCCAGGTTCGACCTACGTGGTGGGCTCCTCAGCCTTTGGAGCTACTCTTGTTTCACACTTCCTGCTTTAGCCCACTTTTTCAGCAGACTGGTTAGGCCCGCTAGCCTTACAAACCAGCCCAGCTTACAGGCCCGCTGGCTTCAGGCACTGAGCCCGCTGAGCTCACGTCCAGCCCTCGCTGGGGCCTCATGTCTGCACCAACCGCGTTTGGGTGCCACATGAAGCCTGACCCCCCTAGGTCAGCCTGAGCCCGCATGGCTCAGTTCTCTGTTACGTTTCACAAAAGCCTGAACTCGTAGTTCAGCCCAGAGACTCTGGTTTTAGCTTTCACAAGGGGGTGGAAAGAAAGGATGCCCGGGCTTGAGCCCGCAGCCCTTTTCAAGCCCTCCTTCTGCAAGGCACTCAGAGCAACCCAGAGAAAAGGTGTGAACTTCTGCAGCTGTGTTTAGTGGCTAGCTTTGAACCTAGGNNGAGCAGTGCAAGCCCACAGAACCAAGTGTGTATGGGTTCGCCAGGTTGCAGCTCCTTCTTGCATGCAAATGCGCGTCCTTTTGCCAGACGACAGTCATGTTTTTCAAGGATGCGACACCTTCACTCGTGCTTGATGTTTCGGTTAAGCATGGAGCTCCTGAAGTCACAAGCCATGTGTCCTAAATTCAGATTGGTGAATGCGATGAATGGGCTTCCTCACGGCAAGGTGGTGCTCAAGTGCGTTTCCTTCTGTGCAGTTGTGACATGCAAAGTTCCAGATTTTGGGTGAGCAGTTGTTAGAAGATCCAGATGGTATGCAGGTGTTAGTGCGCCGGTTGCCACAGAATGCATCACCTTTTTAAACAAAAACTTATGTTATGAAATTAACAAACGTGCGATTCAGGCAGCGATCAATTATGTTTCATGTTGTCACTGTCGAGGCAGGGTTCTAATCATTTTCAACGCAAAACATGATTCCTAGACGGCAGCACCGATGCCTGGCCGCTTGTGGAATCGCTCTCGTTGCGCTGTTGATTTGGTCGGGGCTGTCTTGCTTCGTGCTCCTCACCTGCACACAGCATAACGGTGATTTCATTGCGTTGGTGGCATGAATTTCGTGTTTTGTTCAACATGTTGCAGTACTGCCCGCGAAGCTTTGCTGCCACGGGCACCCGCGCGTGCACCAACTGCAGCGGCAACTGTTGGAGGTCGGAATGCCTTGCAATTTTTAACCGATTCATGATGGCGCATCAGGAATTTTCATTTGCACCAACAGGCTTTCCCGGTGAGTTTGGTGCAAAATGTTCTGCAAGCATCGCGGCGCCGGTTTTGGCAGCACTTGTAGGCGTGGTTTGGACGCTTGCGGTTTTCAACGTTGGTGAACGGTAACGAGCAAATTAGAGGCCCTGCTGTGAGATTGGTGGCAGGCCTGGTGTCTTCAATTGCTTCGATTTCTCCAGCCTTTGCCGAGGTCATGCCTTAAGAGTTCTGCGTGTGCCCTTTTTGATTGTGAAGTCATCTGAATCTGCACAGCGTCGCCGGGATACGCTTGCATCTTGCATTGTCCACACAGGTGCAAGAACATTTACATCTAATTATGCAGCAAAGTTTGCATGATGCGAAAAAAAATGTGCCAGGCGAATGCGTCGAATGCAGAGACTGTGGAGGCAGCTTGGGGTTTTGTGAAAAGCGCCTCGGCCTAAAACAGCGGTGAACATGAACGCACCTTTTTCTGAATGAAACTTATTTGTGGGCGGTATTCCTTGTCTGAGGAAGTTACTTTGACCAAAGTTACAACAATCAAGATTGGGAAGCAGCACATCAGCGGTACCTGGATCGTGTGAAGAAGGGCCAGCGCGCTTGCCCCAGCATTCCGATTGACTATGCGTGTTTGAGCTGTACACAAGCAACCTCCACGACCATGGGTTCCTCAATTTCTGAATCACATTCTAGCTTTTCAATGTTCAAGCAGCATGAGGAGCCGAGAGCGTCGTGCGTGACATGATTGCGTCCCTGGGGGATCGCTACAGCCATTTGCCGAAAGTTCTGGTTCATGTGTGTGGATTTGCATTTAGTGATGAGTCTTTTCGCATCGTGTATGACCGAACAGGCCGAGTCATTGATGCAGCTACTTTCGAGTGCCTTGGCGATCTCTTTTGTTTCAAGTTTCCGGGTTTGTTCTGGTTTCCTCACTCCTTTTCAGTGTCTTCGTGGCTGCCCTTTCTCAGTGTCTCTGCTGCCTCACTGCCTTATGTCAAAACAGGCTCCACCAGGACTGCTCTCAGCAAGAAACAACTGGAAGCAGCTCTGCGTCCTGCAAGCAGCTGGTGACCCGTCAACAGACAGCTTCTCTCCCCATGTCTTTGAGAAATGCTGCCGGCACAGCAAGCTGAGAGAGGAATAAAACGTGTGCATACAAGAAATCTTGCTACATGTGCCCAGAGATTCCGGTGTGCTTTTAAGCAGTAGGGTCAGCCACGCTCCTCAGCTCTTTTTCTTGAGTTCTGAAGTGTCAGGCAGCTCATGGCCTTTGACCCGCTCGGGGTGGGCCTGGTGCTTGCCCGCAACGACGCCAAGCAGGCCAGCATGTCAGAGGGGGAGGGCATGGAACATTTAGGTTGGCCAGGTCTTTGTCAGCAGCCCGCCGTTTGCTGGATCAGCTGCTGAAAAGGCCCTCTACGAGCAAAGGGTCTTGAAGGATGTTTGTGAATTGCTAGGCCGGCATCAAACAGGGAGACATTGTCGATTCCATCAACAACATGAGCTTCAAAGAGTTGGTTGCCTAGCTTAGCAGTGTTCTTTCAGCTTTGCTGAACCTGCATGTTCGTCTTGTTTATATTACTACATTATCTTTTTACCATATGACTATATTATTATAATACTGTATTACTATAATACTACATTACTATATTGCTATATTACTATAATACTATATTACTATATTACTAAAAAGTTTGCGACAGGATGTCACTCCTGGCTGTATGTGATCGCGTCGCACAGGGAGACGCAGCTGAAGCCGGGACTTGTGAAGTGAAGGGAATGTGTAGGGATACTATAAAGCAATAGGGTATATATAGGGGATTATATAGGGATAATGGAAAATGAAATGGAGACGGCTATAGTAAAATAGGGTATATATTTGGGTTATATAAGGATAATGGAAAATAGAATGGAAACTACTATGGGACTTGCCTGTGCGTTTTTATCACCCCACGGAACCTATGGCCGCGGCAAGACGAGCAGGTGAGTCTACAGCTGCAGCGGCCTGGAAATGCTGAGGTTCGTGAGGCAGGGCTCTTACAAGCAGCGGTTCTGACCACCAAATTTGTTCTTCCACTTCTTTGTTGATATACATACTTACGTGACCTATGTATACATACATATCCTTTTTTAGCTGCTGGCTGCCGGCCCGCATGTGTCCAAAAGCTGGATTCCACGCCGCAGCGTCCTATGCGTTGGCCTTACTGGTGGTTAGTAAGCAATATTTGGAAAAAATCCGATACAATCCGTATAACGCATTATCTTGTAGTGGTTTCCATTTGCTTTTCCATCATCCCTATATGTTCATTCCCTTATTCCCTACTAACCCCCAGCAAGCAGCATTTGCCAGGTGAGCCTGGCAAGGCCCAGACAGGCGAAACCGCTGAACCAGGTGGGTGTTTCTCAGAGCAGGGGGTGTCTAGGGATTGGATGGGGACTAAAGATTAGGGGTTAGAGTTTAGGGTTCAGGGTTTAGGGTCAGGTTTTAGGGTTCAGGGTTTAGGGATTAGGGTTTCGGATCTAGGGGATTAGGTGCGGACTACATAGGATTATTTGGGGATCATCTAGGAATTTCATCAGGTCATATGAGGAGTACAATGGGATTGTATGGGTCATGTAGGGATTATGTTAGGTCAATATAGGGTTACACGGGGCAATTTGGTGACTTTTTTGGCATTCCATGAGGGTATAAAAGCGTTATACAGGGCTATGGGGGCCCCTTTTAGGGCTTATAAGGAGATTGTTTCTTCAGGTGGAGTGCGGAGTGGTCACCGGCAAGAACGATCGGAAGATTGGGTGCGCCGCTACCTTGCCACCTCTCCAACCCTACGCCCTAAATCCTGAACCCCAATCCCTGAGCCCAAAACCGTAATCCCTAAACCCTAAACTCTAAAACCTAATCCCTAAACCCTAAACCAAGCATGAAAAATCAAGTTGAGGTATTTCAGGCTCCGAAATGTGGGGGCGCGGAGTGCCGTGGATCTGCGGGCCGCTCTGGCAAAGGTGCATTGTGTAAACTCGGTTTAGGGTTCAGGGTTGAGATGGTAGGGCCCCCCTATGTACCCCTTGACATCCCTCTATGTCCCTATATAGATCCCCCTTAAGTAGATAGAATGTGGGACATATGGGAATCTTATTCTAATATACCCAAAGCCATATTCTATCAACTTCTTCCTTTAGGGGGACTATAACCCCCCAAACTGGTAGTTTCCATTTTCTTTTCCATGATCCCAAAATAAGCCCAATATAACCCCAACATATACCCTATGAGACAATAGTAGTCTCCATTTTATTTTCCATTATCCCTAAATAATCCTTACTATTCTTATCTACTTTAGGGGGACTATACCCCTAAACCCTAAGCCCTAAACCCTAAACCCTAAGCCCTAAACCCTAAACTTTTAAACCCTAAACCCTAAACCCTATATTCTTATCTACTTTAGGGGGACTATAGATCCCTGCCTTGGCATGGTTCCTGCAGTTCCCGGAGGTCCGGAGTGACGGTGCGCAGGAGCTGGTGATCGACTTGAGAGGCAATCCAGGTGCCTCTCAAGAGCTTGAAGACAGCTAAATGAGCCATGGTAGTATTACAAGGGTTATTAAGGGGGATGCTAGGAGTTCAGGTTGTAGCTCAAATGGTATATTTGGACATCAAAATCGTTGAAGTGCAGGTGGTTCATTTCCCGCTGCTCTGGAGATTGCTGAGATTTTCTTGAAGCCCGGCGCGGTTGCGGCGCAGGTCTCGCTCTCTGAAGCCTGGACGTCACTTCATTACATTGCCGCGTGAGGTGCAGCTCCCAACCTCTGAGAGCCGGAAGCCCCTCCGGGTTGGGGAGGGGACTTCACAGACGTCGACGGAGCCGCTGGTGGTGCCTGGGACCTCATTGCATCTGCCAAGGTTGACTTAGCCTAACGATCCTAACGTTGCGTTGACTTGAACATTTCTACTTATCTCAGGTGCTTGTTGATGGTGGCAGTGCAAGTGCCAGCGAGGCAGGGCATTGCCACAAGCGTGTGATGGCTACGCATTATATATATATATATATTATACAAGTACTATTATACTATATATATCTATTACATAATATACACATATTTTTATATACCACATAATACAATATATACATATATCAGAGTCTTCAGGTATTGGCTGTGGCGTTGAGGGGCAACTGCCGAGCTCCGCTTTTGGGATCGAAGACTTTTGGGAAGGCTTGGTGGCAACGGCTGCATCGCGTGTGCTTCTTATGTCCCCAGGGAAACATTCTGGCTTTGTTGAGAATTCTGTGTTCTGCTGTGGATGGATGTGCAGAATTTGGAGCATCGTGACAACTTTCTCCAGCATGATCCGGGCATGGAATCTGCGTGCGACCGTTTTTGTGAGGAGGTGGGAAAACTATCAGGAGTAAAATCGCATGCAACATTGGGACGGTTCTGTCAAGGAGCCAGTAATGCTACGTAGCTTGGCGTTCTTCAGCTCAAGAACTGCAAGTGGCAGAGCTTTAGTGCCCAAAAGGTACATTGGCAAGTGCTTGTCATAATGCTTGTGTATTGGCACACTGCAACAGTGGGACAAGTCATATGCTTTAATGTGTAAGGTCACAAATGAAGCTGCATGAGAAGTGCCAGCAGGGCATGCAGGTTCATAATTCTTGCTGCCTCACCAGCCGTGGGTAACCGGGAGCAAGAGAAAACACAAAAACTGGCCTTTGGTTAGCTAGGAATGCAGGAATGGATCCTTATAGTAGGCCCTATATAACCCATTATGGTAGTTTCCATTTTCTTTTCCATTCCTTAACTCCCAGCTAACCAAAACACCGAAAAGAAAGTACAGTAAGGGAGCAAGGCAGACTTCACTATATAGGCGAAGCTGTTCGAGAGTTTTAATCTCGCGACTTCTTACCTGATCTGCCCACCCTGGCAAGACAAGAAAAGCACCTACCTCCCTTCGGCGCCCGCTGTGGTCAAGCGTAGGGAAACTGTGGCATACATATTACTAAAGTGTGTTGCAAGCATCATGTCTCACAAGCCTGTCATGCTTTGGATGTCTGCGGGAGCGGTATTAGCAGGCAAATGCTATCTGGCACAGCAGTGATCAGCATGCAAGATGACGAGGCAGCCGTTCAAGGCGTCTTTGGCCTCCCAAACAAGGAGCCTATGGCCATTTTGGAACGAGTATGCCGCATGTTTAGAGAGATGCAGGCTGTGAATTTGCAACATGAACCTTCTGATTTAGGGGTTTCCCAAAATTTGGGGTACCTTTTTTTGGGAGTCCCCATGATAAGGATTATAGTATATTGGGATTTATTCTAGGGTCCCCTCTTTTTGGGTAACTACCATTTTCTCTTTGAGATCCAGGAGGCGGTCGCCTTGACTGTGGCGCGATACAGCGGCCCCAGTGGAACCCAAATTGAAGGCGAGGCTGTGTCCCTAGACCCTCCTCCTACCTTCTATTAGCGCCTAAGTACATACTATTAGGGACCATATATCCCCAATTAAGGATACAAGGAGGGTCCTGGTCCACAAATTTTGTTGTAGTTGGGTGTTGCTTCTCAGCCAGAAAAGGGTGGTAGACTCTTGGCAGGGTGCAATGAAGCTACCCAAATATGAGCATGATGTAAACGATAGGGTTTCCTTGTTGTAGCAACTTGATGCGCCCTAAACCCTAAACCCTAAACAAAAAGGTCACAGAAAAAAAACCAAAGACAACACTAAACCAGGTGGTCTGCAGCCTGATTTGCCGCTGCCGGGCCCTTCTCTGCCTCTGGGCATTTCCCTCTCTGGGGCTGCGGCAGAGCTAGGTCTGCCACTGCAGCTTGCCTCAGACATAGGAGAAATATCTAGGGTTTAGGGATTAGGCTTTAGGGATTAGGGTTTAGGGCAGATCAAGGATGCTGTTGTGGGGGGCCCCCATAGATAAGGATTATATAGGTAATAATCGTATTTTGGGGTCTAAATCTAAATTGGGGGGTACCCCTGGTTATGGAAATTACGACGTCCTCTGACTCTCTAAAGTCCGCTAAAGAGTACATGGCGGGAGCTCCTAAACCCTAGACCCTTCGTTTGAGCACAAGGCTTCAGAACGGCGACTACGCGGCCTTGGATGTGCGGGCCTCCCAGGCCAACGGAAGAAGTTGAAGTGCAGCTGATACAGCCTAGCCGGCCTGCCCAATGCGGCATCATATACTATGATATACCATAGGATACCATAGTAAACTACACCCTAATATACTATAATATACTATAATATACTATAATATACTATCATATAAGATTTCATAAGATACTCGCAAATCATCGACTTCTTCAGGCCGCGCTTCAATCGTGCAGAGCTGACGGGTCCGATGCCATGGCACCGTAAAAAAGTGTTGGCGCGTGCGTATCCAGTATTCAAAGCCTAAACTTTAGGGTTTAAGGCTTAGGTACATAACTCCATTATAGCAGTTTGAAAGGGTAAACTCTAGGGTTTAGGGCTTAGGTACATAACTCCATTATAGCAGTTTCTAAACTCTAGGGTTTAGGGCTTAGATACATAACTTCATTGTACTAGTTTCCATTTTATTTTCCATTATCCCCATATATTCCATCATCCCCATATATCCCCAATATACTATAGTAGTTTCCACAAGCGTGATGACAGTCATTTGGCTTTTGGTCTGCAACCGGGTGCTGCTGTGTAGCATCTGCATGTGATGACGCATTTCCAGTTTCCAGCAGCTGCGGACTGTTGAACACGAGGGCTGCCCAGCGTTGGCAATGTAGGTCAGCATGCGATCACATGAAGCCTCATAGTACTACAGCACTTCAAGTGATATTGAGCAGATCATGAGTCAAGTAGTGTTGAACATCCTTACATTCTGTTCCTTCCCATCGCGCATGGACATCGGCCAGATTGGCCTGCTCTCCACATGGGCCGGATTCTCGGAGAGTGCCTCGATGACAGGGGACCTTGGTGTCACCAGTTCCTGTCCATTACATATTACATTACAATATAATATAGTATACTAGGATATAGTATACTATAATATAATGTACTATAATATCATCTACTATACGCTATTATAATATACTATACCCAGGTTCTGGCGTCGGGAAGGTGACATCCGACACTCAGATCCGCAAGGCACACATCCAGGGCAGGGTCAGGCCTTCGACTTCAAAAAGACCACTGCTTCAGAGCCCCTTGTTGCTATTGCGAGGTCTTGGATTGCGGTCCAGAAAACACAGCCTCGACCAGCAGCATGCTGCTCAGAGTCTCTCCACAGGTTGCATCCCCTGACTGTGACAGCTGGACACCCTTGGCCTCAGGTACGTCCCATGCTGTGAAACGGATTGAGGGGGTCGCCTGGCCAATGTTTCTTGAATCATGCCCTGCGTCGGTGTGTCAAGCGACGTGCCAATGACAAAGCTTTTGTCAGGTGCAGGATTTTGTGCCGCCAAATGCGATTGAAGAACTGGGTACAGCCAGGACCTGAAATGAAAGCAATGATTGTTCTTTGTAGGTTCTAGGAAGTTTGGGGAGATAGCTAGCATCTTCGAGTTCCCCGCAGAAGGCAACTTTAGCACAACGTGTTCAAGTTCTCGAGTCCATCGTTCAGCAGCAGGCTTGGCCTTTCTGTGCATCCGGAAGCCCTCAATTTTTTGGAAGAAAAGCTATATGGGGATTTCCCTAAATTATGAGTACCTTTTTTTGGGTCCCCATAATAAGGATTATGGTATATGGGGGTCTATATCGGGGTCCTCCCCGATTTTGGACAACTACCACATCTCGTTTCCTGGGAGGCGCAGCAGCTGCAGCAGATGACGAAGGCTGCGGATGCTGTGGATACTGAGAAGGGGATACATGACGTAGCCTTTATGGAGAAAATGCTTGACATCCAATATGTAGGAGTCCCTTCAACAATATGTACCCTACTATAATATAGTAGTTTCCATTTTCCATTATCCTTATATAACTCAAATATTCTGCATACCTTAAGAGAAGGGCCGGTGCTTTTTGCTGCATTTGGAGCGCAGGTGCTGGAGGGGGTCCAGAAGGACGTTCGCCGGACGGTATCGGTGATGCAGTACAACATCTTGGCATCGTGCGCATGGTCTGATGTGTCTAGCCTTTACGCTTGGCTGTGAGGGATCGGATCTTGAGGTACTTGGGCAAGAACACGCAGCCGTGGTTCCTCTACGGCGCGGACATCAGTGCAGAGGAGTCTTCGTTAACAGGGGCTTCCCTGCTCCAGCAAAGCCACGTGTGCCGCGGAGGAGCGAGAGCAGGTTTTTGCCCGATTCAATGCACGCGGTCCCGACGGCACGCGTGGGCCTTGGCTTCCATATTGCTTTGCTGCCTTGCTGCTTTGCTGCTTTGCTAGCTGCCATGTGCCCTGTGCAATGCAGCACGATGAGGCCAAAGCATGCGTGGCCGGACTACGCCACAGGCGCCTTCTGCCGCATGGCATTGCATTGTGCGGAGGTGGTAGTGCACTATCCCTACATAACCCTATACAGCTTCATATGCATGTGCAGATGTATATATATGTATGTATACCTTTATAACCCCAGTATACTATAGTATACTATAGTGACTTCCATTTTCTTTCCATTATCCCTATATGATATATCCCTTTGCCAGGCATCCTGAGCCCAGAGGAGATTGCGGAAGTGGAGCGCTATGATGCCTTCTTCAGGCTCGGTCTGCTCGTGCTTCTACTTAGAATATAGTATACTGTAGTATACCATAGTATACTAAAGTATACTATAGTATATGGGAGCATACTATAATATATTATAGCATATTATAAAATGCAAGAATATCCTTAAAAATGCTAGATCAAATTATAGTACACAATATTGTACTCTAAGATACTAACAGATACATGCGTGGTCCGCTGATCTGCTGGGGAGGTGGGACTTCCGGCGGCAGAAGCTCTTGGATCAGATCGAGATCATGGATCCTGACGTGCTCTCGCTGGCGGCAGCCCCATGTGTTTCTAGAGCAAGTATAACCCCAATATACTATAGAATAGAATAGTATGGTATAGTATAGTATAGTATACTATAGGATTCTACAGAATGCTATGGTACTTTCCATTTTCTTTTCCATTACATAGCAGGTGGAGCTGGATGACCACGCTTTCTTTGCAGAGTGCCTCTGCGACGAGTGGGACCCCATCCTGTGCTGCTGTACTGCTGCAATCTGCTACCGCCTGCGGTGCCAGACCCCCAAACCCTATAAACCCTATCCCCTAAACCACCCTAAACCCTAAAGCCCTAAACCCGCACTGTCCCCATTGATGCAATCCATGCTGCGGATGGTACAGCTGGACAAGGTGTTGCCGTGGGTACGTTAGCAGAAGAAAGGTCGAGCTTGTTTGCAGTTTCAGAGACTGTCTTGGATGCAGGGGTTGATGTTGAGTCCTTGGATGTCACGGAATGAAAACGGTTGAATGTGAGATGGCCGAAAGGTCCACATGAAGATGTACTGAGAGCAACCGGAGCTTAGTTACTGTTATCTACCCCCAGAAAAGCCTCAAACCCTAAACCCCTAAACAAAAAACCCTCCTGATCCCTAAAACCTTAAACCCTAAACCATCCTTACTGAGCATGTTGAACAAAGCTTTCTGTGGCGGCAAGGACTCTGTCTTCCGCAAGCGGCCGCGGGCCTCGTCAGCAGACGGCTGCGGGATTTTCTGGCGGAAGTCCAAGTTTGAGCTTCTGGCCTCGGAGGCCGAGAGACCCTTGGGAGTATAGTCCCCCTAAAGTAGATAGAATATGGGGTTTGGGGTTTAGGGTTGAGGGTCCCCCGTTAAGTAGATAGAATATGGGGTATTTGGGCATCTTACTGTAATATACCTCAAGCAATATTCTATCTACTTAACGGGAACTATATCATCTGAGCTATAATCTCAACTCCCTGAAGGGGGCTATATAGGGGATTGAGAAGGAGAGTCTCATGGGGGTTAGGAAGGGGGATAATAAGAGGTTAGACTATAACTCACATGGAGTTTAGAGGATTTAGGGTGTAGGGTTGAGGGTTTAGGGTGGGATGAGTGCAGATGGTTTTGTTGGTCGACAGGGCTTCGACATGGTCGACGGCAGCGACGAGAGCCTGGCGAGATTTGAGCAAGCACCAAATGCTGCATTTCCCCCTAGGCCAAAGCCTTAGCGATCAAAGTATACAAATAATAAATAATACCTACATTGGGTCATTGGGCCCTAAAGTCCGTAAGCATTACCTACATTGGGGCTATCGTGATTTCTCTGGAGACGCTGGGCCCTGAGTCTTGTATCATCTCAGACTTGGCTGGGCCTAGCCAGGACAAGGGCCGCGAGAAGCGAGATCGGAGTTGCGTGATGGCCTGGAACTCGGCTTGGTACAGGTTTAGTGTTAATGGTTTATGGGGCCTCTAATTTGGGCCCTTTGGCCCTTTAGGGGGATTCTAGGGACCCTTCAGGGTACATGTAGGGTAATTAGTACATAGGCTTGGTATGGAAGCTTGTGCTTGCGAGAGGCCCATGAATTGTCAGGTCTTGTTGAAATGGCGCGTTGCTGGACATCACGTCCTACCCCTGGTGGTTGTGTCAACACATCTTGCCAAGGCAGGGCGGTGCGTCTCCACAGAAAATCGGATGATTTATGCATACTTCTGCACCTCCGCAGCATCACGCAGGATCCATACAACAAGGCCCAGACCGCCATCCGAGTACGACAGGCTGGGTCCCTTCGGTGCCTGCAGTTTCTTTGGCTCGGATGCATTAACTGGGTTGCTGTTAAGGAACATACTGAATACAGAGGTTTCCTTATTGTACCAATTGCATTTCCTTAGTAGCAGCCCAGTTAATTGCTGGAAAGCAGGTGACACAGATCATGGCTAGCCTGACAGAGTTCACGTCAAAGCACGAGGCCAGCAGCCAAGAGAAGAAGTTGGGGGATGGAACCTGAAAGTTAGGGTTTAGGGTTTGGGGTTCAGGGCTTGGGGTTTGGGTTTAGGGATTCGGGTTTAGGGGTTTTGGGGTTTAGGGTTAAAGGTTTGGGGAATTTTGATGATCATCTTCATCTTCGCGTGTGCTACAGGCCAGGCACTGCCCAGTGGTCTTGCTTGGGGACCTCAATGCACGTCACTTCGGGGAGATCCGAGGGCACGGGGCACAGAGTTCAGATGCTCAAGCTTCACGGAATGAGGGTAGTATCTTACCACATGTTATTCTTGTCTTCTTACTGTTGTGATGATTCCTACTTATTACCATTATTAGTATCATCAGAGCTATCATTATTTAAGGGCTGGCGCTGCTGCCGCCAACCCCAGTAGTAGGGAGTCGGGGGGAGAGAACGGGGGGCCCACGGATAAGGCGGCCTGGAGGAAGCACGCTAGGGAGGCTGGGAGGGAGGCCTGGGGGCAACCTCTCACTCCGGAATGCCCACACAGCCCTGAATCAGCAAAACAACAAGACCCCGATTATCCCGCAAGCAATCAGTTCAAGGTTAGTTAGCAGGGGATGCGTATCTGGCCATATTCTAGGTGCTGCGGTCGCGGTTTTAGCGCTACCAATAAAACAGAGAGGCGGTGTAGATTCTTTGGTGTACGTGGTGCGGTGTAGGTGCTGTGGTGTATGTGGGCGGAGTAGGTGCTGTGGTGTACAGTGTAGGTGTTGTGCGGTATGTGGAAGTGTAGGCACTGTGAAGTACTGGCGCAGTGTAGTTGCTGTGGTGTATGTGCGTGGTGTAGATGTCCTGGTGTATGTGAGCGGGGACGCTAGGGGGGCTGGGGGGAGGCAAAGAGGCAACCTCTCAACACGTTTGGGGGGGTGCCTCGAAGGGGATACTAGGAGAGGTTGGGAGGGAGGTTTAGGGGCAACCTCTCAAAAAACGCGGGCCGGAAACGAATACTGACCCCCCACTGCACACAGGGGGCGAAGTCTGACAACCAAGCCTGAGCCTCTGGGCGAGGGCTAGACGACGACAAAGCCTGAGCCTCCATTGCACACGGGAGGTGAGGGCTGACGCAACGACTCTGCAGGTCCTCGGTCAGCCAGCTTGATTCTGCTGTCATTGCCTGGTAGGGGAGGGGAGACCCCCAACTAATGTATCGATCATCAGTGTATAATGGCCCTGCCACTCGTACCAGGTGTGGATAATAATTACCTATGTTGGGCGCCATTGCTGACATGTAGCGAGGCACTAGTATTGTAGATTAAGTAGTTTAAAAGAATCTAGAGTTGTTACTATTGCCTCATTAAACACTTACTGGATGGAAGCAGCACACAAAAGGCCAAGCGAGGTTTGTCCCTGGACAAGGAGAACCCTAAGCCCAGTATGTGAGCTTTCTCGGAAAGATGCCAGAACCAAAAAACGCTTTAACGGGGCTATACTCACCCCGAAACTGGGAGGGTGGTTAAGGATGGGGCTTTGGAGAAGGGAGGGAGGGAGGGAGGGGGGGCCTAGAGGCAAACCGCTCACAGTGGAGAGGTTAAGTGACAAAACACGGGTCGGCAATACCTTGGAGCCGGCCCTGCCCACCGCTCAGCGAAAGGGGTCGGGAAGGCAAGCAAAGGTCTGGGGCTGGGGGATAGTAGAGGTAGGGAGAGGTTCGGGGCGCATCCCGCGCATTAAAAAAACGGCTTAGGGGCTCAGGGCCTGGTCTCTTCAAAAAACTTTGAATTGGAGGGGTTTGGCTGGGTAGTGAATGGAGGGCCCACGCACGGGGGTAGCCTTGGAGGGTGGTGTGTAGCGCCGCCAAGAAAGGGAGGGGGATGCTGGGTGGGATGCTGGAGGGGGACACTAGGGAGGCCCAGCGCAACCTCTCAAAAAACTGCTCGGGTTGGGCTGGGGGTAGAAGCAGGGATAGTAGAGGCAGGGGAAGGCCGAGTGAGGCCTGGAAAGAGATGTAGAAGAACACGGAGCAAGAAGGGCTTTATGGTACGCTCGCCCCGTCAGGGCGGGGTCGACGGATTTCCACGGAATTTGTTGAGATCCTGTGCAGAAGAAATATGGCAAATGGGATGGTCTTTGTTAGTCGAAAGGTGTCACAGCAGATGTTTCGTTCTCGCAGTCTGCTTTCCAGATGATTGTTTGTCGCCTCCGGATCCTGTGTTGCCAGCTGAGCTCCGCTGCCCTGCCCAGGATTGCAAGAACGGCCGGGGGCTTGTCACCAACTTCGCTACTACGGCAGGTCTGTAAAACAACGATACTGGATGATGATGAGGAGGATGACCACCACCACCACCCCCGCCGGCGCCACCACCACCAACGCCAACACCGCCACGACCACCACGACCACCACGACCACCGCGACCACCACGACCACCACGACCACCAAGACCACCACGACCACCAACACGACCAGCAATGTTAGGATTGCTGTTGAACATGTGACCACAACTCTGGCATGAAGCACAGGCTGTTCTTAACTCCGCTGCCTTGATGTTGGGGCTCAAGATCTAGTTCAGGCCTTTCTCCATTGTGAGTTGGGAAGCATTGACACATGCGCAGATGGCCCGGCATGTGGCTGGGCACTGGATGAAGGCAGATGCTGGTGTGCTGGATTTGGTAGGGATGCTTTGGGCTGACTTTGCCAACGAGCCTGTCGGAAAGGACGCTGCAAACCAAAGAGGGCATGCATGGTGAGAGCTGCTGCAGAGTGTGCATGAGCGGTTACCAAAAAACTGCATGTGGGTAGGACTTCAGTCCTGTGGGTGATGAAGAGAAGGCGCAGTACTGGGCACTTGTACACGTGTGACTCACACATGCAGCATGATACCCACATTCTTCTCCTTGCAAGGCACAGGCGAGTCGGCCACGGCGCAGGCGCATGGAGCCTTCCGCGCTTTGCTATGTGGCATCCGCCGGGGAGGTTGTGGGACACCTGACAATGCGCTTGAGTTGCACAAAGAGCTGTTTCGATTGTTTTCTAGTAACACTTCACAACGTCACAATTTGCTAGAATGATGGCGGTTGCTGCTACTGCTGCCGCTGCTGCTGCTGCTGGGGCTGGTCCGGCCACTTTCCCTTTCTTGCTTCTCCTTGTACGCAGGGCTCACCAGGTATCATGGTGTTCTGTTGTGTTCAGCAGCCTTGTATGCTGTAGCCTGACGCATCCATGCCCGGGCCGTAATGACATTTTACCAGAGCCATGCCCAAAGCATGATGATGTTCATGTTCCAGAGCATGGGGTTGCTCGGCGCATGTTGGAAAGTCTGGCCAGCATATTCAATCTAGCCTCTCTTGGACTAGAGGTGTCTGCCCTTCTGTGACTACAGCAAAGTATGGGCTCACAAAGTGGAGCCTAAGGGCTTCTTGGGCTCTTTACCTGTCTTGCACTCTTTACCTGTCTTACATGTTTCCTGATCAAAACGAATTTTGTAAGATGCTGCACGATTACCAGGACCCTGCCCAATCAAATCTGCTGTCTCTCCAGACGCAGCAAAACACCGCCACATTAATCTGGCGAGGCCTATTGTTACTACGCATACTGCTTAGTGCTATCGCTACCATTACTGCTAAACCTACCACCTGCTGCTGCCGCCGTTGCTGCTGCAGCAACGGCGACGACCTATAGTTGGTGGGTGATTTGCATTTCAAATTTTCAGAGGCAGGATGCGCATTTCAAGATAGAGCGAGCCCTGTTGGAATGTTCACCTTGGTGCTGACTTCCCACGTGTCATGCACTCCAAAGTGTGGTGGATATCCTACACGTGCGGTCAAGTTGTCAGCGCTTCCATGTTACAACAGTAGAATAGTCAATAATAGCAATAGTGGTAATAGCAGCAATAGTACCTAGCAGTTAAAAATAGAAACAAAATCATTTCATTTCAAATTCAACTTTCAGTGTCTTCTTCAGCTGCGTGCTCCGATCTTAGAGCTGCCAAGGATTCTCGCAATCACTTGGATGAGCTGCAAGTTTCGTGAGCACGGGTCTGAGTGGGATACCGAAACCCTATACCCTACTTGGTTGCTGTCAAGGAACTTAATTCAAGTTACTATATTGCGGAAACCATAATAAGTACTAGATATCCCCATTTTGGTAGCCTAATTGAAGTTCCTTAACCGCATCCCTAAACCCCCAAGCCCCTTCAACGGGCAGGCAGCTGGTTCATCGCAGCAATCGTTTTGTTTGTTTCGCTGGTGAAGAACAGGGGTGGGTCAGAGTGAAATGATGCCTCCGACAACCTGTGCGGGTTGTCCAATGCAAGACACGGGAAAGAATGCCTCTTGAGGAGAGGAAGCTTGGACGTAACCTGGGACCGGGTTCGGTCCGAGTCACCACAAGCATGTCAGCAGCATCATCAGCAGCAGCAGCAGCACCACCGCCACCGCCACCACCACCACCACCACCACCACCACCACCACCACCACCACCACCACCACCATCATTATCATGCCCGTTGCTGCGCGCAGCTATGAGAATCACAGTTCTTGGCATTGCAATGCTAAAATGGAAACAGTATGGCTCCTGTCTTATTCAACGAAGCAACAAAAGCAGCAATTGCAGCAACAAAAGAAATGATGCTATGATAACTTCTGCCGCTTACCACCATCGCCACTGCTGCGGTTGCTCGTGTTGCGACTGCCGCCTCCTCTCCTACCCGTCCTTCCGCCGTCACCACCACGACCATCACCGCCCCCGCCCGCGCCGCTACACTGCTGCCATCATTCTGGTCATCATTTGCTGCGAAGTGCTGCAAGTGAGGCCCCATGCCAAGATCGAGGATCCCCTTCGGCAGTTGCGATACATCATGACTATGTTGCTTGCCAGCAGTGCTGCACTAATTGGATGGTTTCATATACCCCAATATATACCCTATTATCATGTAGTAGTTTCCACTTTCTTTTCCACTATCCCAAAATTAACCCCATATTACCCTATGTAATCCCTATACAACCCATTATACTAGTTTCCATTTCTGTTCCATTCTTCTCAAATCAACCCCATATTACCTGATCTCTCAGCCACAATCCGATTCCTTAGCTGAAAGGCTGCTGATCCCAGTGGTCCTCTACACCACGGCAAAAAATTGGTACCGTGGCTCCTGGGTTTTTGTTGAATAACAGTTTACCTGGACTCAATTAGATCCCCCTAAACCCCTAGACCCCTAAACCCCAAACCCCTAAACCCCTAAACCCTAAACCCCTAAACCCTAAACCCCTAAACCCTAAACCCTAAATTATTTTCAATGGTATTTCCAGGTTTGCACTTCCCACTCACCGCCTCTGCCAGCTTCCAGGCATGCTCCGCAGACTAAAGTCACTAGGGCTACGTGGGGCATATCCCAAGGGTTTAGGGTTTAGGGTTTAGGGGTTTAGGGTATAGTCCCTATATATCCTCCCAAGATAGTCCCTGTATGGGGGGTTATGGGGGGTTCCCAAATTAGGGGTCACCATTTTGGGGGTCCCCATAATAAGGGCTCTAATATATTGGGGTCCATGTTGGGGTACTTGAATTTATGGAAATTACCATATAACCCATTATGGTAGTTTCCATTTTATCTTCCATTATCCCAACATAACCCCTATATACACACACACACTAGAATCCCTACATAACCCTATATAATATCCCAAAATAAGCATTCTATATGCCCATCCCGAGTCCTTCTCTTGTTAGGTGCTCCGGAATCGCCGTGTGGAGTCCTTCATCCCTGTGGATCTTACTGGCGCAGACCTGTACTGCATGTTGGCCAACGGATTCTTCTTCTGCCCCTCGCCAACTTAATCTAGGGTTATATAGGGATTCCAGGGTATATGTATAGGGGTTATATAGAGATAATGGAAAATAAAATGGAAACTACCAGAATGGGTTATATGGTAATTTCCTGAAATTAAGGTGCCTCAATATAGACCCCAATAAAATACAGTCCTTTTTTTTGGGGACCCCCAAAATGGTCCTTTTGTGAGAGACTTGAGAGTGAGGCCGAGGCTGTGGATTGCATGCCTGTTGCCCGTTTCTTGCAATTCAAAGGCGGCCTGTTCCTCTGGAATTACGTTCTGCTGCTCCAGCGCCGCCGGGACCGGGATGTATTCGATCCTTCGGCCCACATGCTGGTAGCACTTTGCCTCTTCGGTTCGGTGCTCCGGGCAAAGTCTCTGTTGCTGTGCTTCCTCTTCTTTGGGCTCCTCTGCTTGCTCTTGGGCGGCTTGCTTTGCTCCGGCCCCCTGGCATGTATCGCGCTGCAGCTTAGCTGCAGCAGCCAAGTTTTGCTTTCTGGGAGGAGCAAGGAACCCAAGTGGGAGGGTTGATAGCTTGTGGCTATTTTCGAAGATCCCAAGGCTAAACTCCTTGAAGGGGGTTATGTAAGGGATTATATAGGGGACTATTCTAGAGTTTAGATTAGGAATTTTTGAAATCCCAAGGCTAATCTGGATTGGAGTTGGCTTCCGGGGCCCTAGCAGCAAGATTGACTTCTCGCTGGACATGGGTCGGCCGTATGCTGCTCTCAGCTCCTCTCCTGCACTGTTTGCAGTCATACAAGAAGTGAGGAATATTTCACTTGGGGATACTATGGTACTTCAATATAGAGGAGGATTAATGTTACTGACTATTATCGTAATCTCGCTAATGATAATAGCAATACTGCTAGTCATAGTGATATTGCCAAGTACTGTGTGTGTCTGCACGGTCCAAGGCTTCTTCTACACGCACATGTGATTGGCTGCAGACGGCGAGAGGAAAAGCATCGCCTGACAATCACCTGCAAGACTGCTAACATTACTAGTGCATCACTACCATCAGTGTTATTACTGTTATCGCTAATTCCATTATAATTTGTATCATTGCTACCCTTATCAGTAGCAACAATGCAACGATGCTGCATTTCAGCCAGCCCAAGGCTTTTTTTCCACCATGTGTCTCAGGTTTGGCAGATCAAGGGGGAGCCTATCCACAAGTGCGCTGCAGAGCTTGCTTTTTTTCTCGCAAGATTAGTAATAATAGTAACAGTAATAATAATAGTAATAGTAACAATAACAATAATACCAATAATAGTAATAAGAATAATAGTAACAAAAATAATGGGACTATGGGGTCCAAAGTCTTGACATGCCAGGTTCCTGTGGGGCGCCACAGATGTGAACACCGGGCCTACCTCCGTCACAAAGGCTCGCTGGGCTAGTTTGCTTGCCAAGCTCGCACCAACACACTCGCGAAACCTCCCATTTTTATTGTTACCACTTGTATTATTACTATTATTGGTATCATTCTTATTGTTACTATTACTAGTATTACTATTACTATTATTACTAGTCTTGCGAAACCTCGCCTGCATCCTGCCTCAGGCACGGCACTGCCGCATTGACGTGGTGCAGTACCTCAGTAGCCACATGGAGGTGGGGAGCTTAGGGTTATAATGGAATAATGGAAAAGAAAATGGAAACTACCATAATAGAATAGGGTGTATATTGGGGTTGTATTGGGATAATGGAAAATAAAATGGAAACTACTATAATAGAATAAGGTGTATATTGGGGTTATATTGGAACAATGGAAAAGAAAATGGAAACTACAGGAATTATAAGGGTTAACTGGCAGGGATTATAGGGGTTCTATTGGGGTTATATTGTGTTAAGGTTGGGTTTATGGGTTATATTGGGAGAATGGAAAAGAAAATGGAACCTACAATAATGGGTTCTATAAGGGGATTTAGGGTTAAAAGGGTCTAGGGTTTAGGGTCTAGGGTTTAGTGTTTTTTTTTTGGAGGGTCTTGTTGTGGCAGTGCCACAGAGCCACAGTGCAGGTGCTGGATGTCATGCCCGTTCCAAAGCTGGATCCCGGAGAGGCCATCCCTGCAGCAATGAAATCTGTGTTCGGTTTAGTGAGAAGCCCTCAGAGCCGCAGCACTTTGGCACTTTGGGCACCAGCAGTCAACAAAGAGAGAGGTGTGCAGCTGGCAAAGGTGAGGTGTGCTGCGTTGTGATTGCAGTCATGTTTGCCTGTGAGCCATGGTCTTCGCCCTGTCTCCACGCTGTCTGGCGAGCAAAGGCCAGAGGTTAAGAGGGTGACCTGCGCTTTTCTGCTTAAATGCTTAAGTAGGTAGAATATAGGCAATACAGGGTAATATAGGGGTTATATAGGGATAATGGACAAGAAAATGGAAACTACTACAACGGGTTATATAAAGATTATACAGGGTAATATAGGGGTTATATAGGGATAATGGAAAAGAACATGGAAACTACTCTATCATGACAGGTCTAGGGTATGTATTGGAGTTATAATCCCCCTTAAGTAGATACACCATGGCATTGGTATGTTATACTACTATAGGGTTTAGGGTTTAGGGCCCTTTCCTGTACTTGGAGGCCACAGCCTGCAGTGGATCCAGCGGCACGCCAAGGACCGCTGGGTCCAGCGGGCTCACGAGCAGATGTACAGGCAGAACAAATGGTTTCTGCATAGAGTCCCCCTTAAGTAGGTGGAATATGGCTTTGGGTATAGTATAGTAAGATCCCCATGTAGTAGATAGAATATGGCTTTGGGTATGGTATAATAAGATCCCCATATACAGCCTATAATCTATCTACTTAAGGGGGGACTATAGAGCCATTAATATCTTAAAAGCAAGTCGCGGGGAGGTCGCGGGCCGCGTTCAAGCTGAAGCAGCTGGATGCGCAGTTCAAGTTCTTCAGCAGGCACGCTGGATACTCACCTCTCCCCTGTGAAGCGTGCTGCATGTGGCTTAGGAACTCTGTGGTACTGGATCTGGGCTGCTACGCGGGCGGCTGGTCTCAGGCACGGCTCAATTGTGTCAGCTGATGCAACTTCACGGTTCATCCTAGTGATATTCCTGTCCACCAGCAGGGTCACCCAAATCCGAGCCCACAGATCAGGTGGCAGTGCAGCGTACCGGGCAACGCGGAGCGCTGGTGATTGGGGTGGTTTCTCGGCTTGCCTTTGGCTTTTGCTGGATCGATTTTCAGCGGCGGCCCCCCCCATCATCCCCCATCCATGTTGCAGGATAAGATCTTGATGGAGCCCCTTGAGGGGCAGCAGTTCGTCCAGGGCGACATTTGCCACGCGAGCACTGTGAGGCATCAGCTTTCTGCCTTTCAGCTGTGGCTGTTTCTGTACTTTGAGAGCTCCCCGAGGCAGGTGGAGGAGATCCTCTGTGGGCGCCAGGTCCTTCGCAGATTTTTGCAGCAGTTCAGGGTTGAGGATTTAGGGTGAAGAGTGTAGGTTTAAGGGTGTAGGGTTGAGGGTTAAGGTTTTAGGATTTAGGGTCAAGGTTTTAGGGTCCAGGTTTTAGGGTCAAGTGTTCAGGGTGTAGGGTTAACGGTTTAGGGAGGTGAAGGTGCAAGGGTCTAGGATTTAGGTTGAGGGCGTGGCAGACCGCACCTGCCTGGAGGCCACGGTGGTGCTCTCGGACCTGGCAGGGGCCTTAAATGCTCTGAATTGCGTTGCCTCTCTTACAGTGTCATGCAGTGACAAGGAAGGTACCGTCCCCCTGAAGTAGATGGAATGTGGAATATCATAGTAAGATATCCCCATATACCCCATAATCTATCTGATTCTATCTACGTAAAGGGGGACTATACACCCTTAGCCCTAAACCCTAAAGTCCCCTAAACCCTAAACCCCTAAACCCCTAAACCCTCAACCCTTTGGCTTCTGGACAAGGCCCCGAAGATGATAGGAAGCGCTATCGATGATCACCTGGCTTCGGTAGAGCTCGGAAAGGAGGCTCTGCGCTGGGCGCTGCAGCTGGGATGCAGGGGAAGGGGTTTAAAGTAGCTAGAATATAGCTTTGGGTATGGCATCATAAGATCCCCATATCAGCGGCGTTGATTCTAGGCATGTAAGGGCTATGATGGAAGTGAAACTGCAAGAGTGCTTGCGTAGCCTCTTGCCTGCAGGGCATAGTTGTGGCGTAGTTTCGCGTAGGCACCTAAAATAGTCTCGTCCGCGTAGTCTGCGTAGTTTGTCTGTTTTGTGAGCAAGAAGAGGTTCGTGCTGCATAGAATTGTCAATAGCCCAGGAATGCCGCGTAGTCCTCGTAAGCAGCACGATGGCAAGAGTGTGTTCGCGTAGTCTGTNNTCTGTTCTGCAGGGAAAACAGCAATCCGCGCAGTTCGCGTAGGCAGACTCTCTTAGTATAAAGACTTTAACCTTAAAAACAACAATGCTCATATACTCCATAGTCGATCTACTTAAGGGGGACTATAGGGTTTAGAGGTTGAAGGACGAAGTCTTCAGCAGCAGGGGAAAAGGGGGGAGAGGAAGGGTGGGCATGGAAAGCGTCAAGACATGCCATTGTTTAGGAGACGCCCCCCACTGGCGTCAGCGAATTCTTCTTACGACTGCTTGATAATAACAATTAAGAAGAACACACACATATATACATATATGTATGTATATGTATATGTATATATATATATGCATACACCCTCCTAGCGTTTTATCCTCGCCAATGTTACGAAAGCCAGTGAGGGGTTTCTGACTAAGGAAGTTCCTGAGGCCGGAGGGCTGGTTCGATCCTTGGCAGCTCAGAAGCATGGTCGTTCCATTTTGGAGGTGCCGTGGTCCTCATGTAGGGTTTAGGGTTTAGGGAACTCTAATCCCGAAACCCCTAACCAAAATCCTTAAACCTAAACCTAAACCATATAAACTTAGCATTACTTAGTGTACCCAAATTTCGTTAATTTTAAATGTTCAAAACCAACATGACCCCGCCCAAACCTTAAGTAATGGTCATAAACTATAACCCCAAACCCAAAAGCTACCTGTTGGGCCATCCCAGGCAACTCTAAACCCCTAAACCAAACGTTGAACCCTAAACCCTATACTCTAAAACCTGAACCCAACTTTCTGCAGGTGGAAAAGGGGCGGAACAAAAAACAAAAAAAAGGCCCGAAAGCTGAAAGCCGTTGGGTGTGTGATCCCAGGTGAGTAGTATTTTATTCGGGCATACTATGGTACCCAATGTAGAGTAAGATTCTATTCTCCTTTTGTGTATAGTATTTTATATAAGGAATATAGTCTTACTGGGTTTAAGCACCAAAAAAACGCTACTCAGGTGACCAAGGTCTTTGCGGGAGGTGTGCTGGACGGCTTCAAGCTGCAGCTGGCTGAGCACTTTGCTAAGGCCGCGGCTGCCTTCCTGTGGCTAAGTAGAAAGACAGAGAAATATTCAGATAGATTAATACATATATATGTATATCTATATACTAATCTTTACAAGCATATATATATACATATATCTATTATGTATATATGTATATATATATATATTTATATAAATACTTATGTACATATGTATAAGTGTATATATATATATGTGTATATATTTAGGGTTTAGGGTTAGTAGGAAACGAAGGAAGATATTGTTTAGGGAAAATCTGGAGATCATTTTCGTGTCAGTAAGCTGCTGACTCCACATATGCTCACTTCCCAACATGAGAGTACCCAAAGCAAAGGACGCCTTCAGCAAGGGCAACAATGCGCCGCATCCTTCCGACAAAGCCCAAGATCCCTTGATTAGGGAATAGACCCAAAATGATACTAGGATCCTTCAAGTGATTTCAGACCCTCCACCCCAAACCCTAGGCCCGAAATTAAGGCATGTTCCTTGACTGAGGGATATGGTAGTTCCCCAAAATGCGGGGACCCCAATATAGACCCCAACATATTATGATCCGTATTATGGGAGCCCCAAAAAAGGGACCCCTAATTTTGGGAAATCCCCATAGTGGGCTTTCTGGGTAGATTCTAGATCTTGGTCCAGGTGCGGACTGCCAAGCCGAAGGCTTCCAGGAACGACACTTATTTGTGATTAGTATACTGGGTTTAGGGTTTAGGGTTTAGGGGGAATGCTCCCGCCATAATCCCTACATAATCCCATAAATCCTCATATGATCCCGATATACTTCATATATCATGCCTACAAAATCTCGATATAGTCGTGGTATAATCATTATATGATCCCTATATAATCCTGTTGATCCTCAAGACCAGGGAG